ACAAAGGGGAGGAAGATGTGGGAAAAGAATGTGACTTATTGAGAGATGATTGCGTAACAGTTCATCGGATACTCACCCGCAGCTAGTCTCAGTGATATTTTAAACAACTTGTATGAACTTTATGGAAGTCGTCCAGACCAGCACTTTTGTCAGTGCAATGCTCCAACGCCCAGTCATAGAGAGGATGCTCGAGAGGAAGCGCCAGACTAGGATGGTTGCAAACCGCCAAGAGGTACTTCAGCGCTTCCTGTCCTTCGAGTGTTTTTGAAAAGGTCTCGTAGAGTTTCGCCTGTTGAAACAATAAAAAAAGAACAAATCAATTCTGCTTGTTACCAGCCTTACAGCAATGCCTGGTAGCTCTATTTGAAGCACGTCTGAAGGTCCTACTGGAACGGGTAGCATAGGGATCGGAGAAAGTGAAAGGATTCTGAAGCCAGTCGACACTTAAAACGAGAGATTCAGTTATGAAATCAAGATGTTTTCTTCTTTACTGAAACAGTTCCTGCCTATTACACGAAAATTTGCCTCTGAAGTGAGACGAGAGAAATGACAGGAATAAAACAAAGACATTCACTAAAGAATTCGATATAACTACGATCACAAATCATGTAACATTCACTTTGAATTAAAGATACTGCCAAACTGAGCCGGCAGTGGCAGAACAATTGAGAAAACTTAAGATATGGAGTTCACAAAATGAAAAAAGCTGCCTACAAAAATCTTGGGATGCAAAAATGAGCGTAAAAAGGGAAAAAGTGTTTCAGAGGTAGCCTTGATTGATGCTAGAATAATTGTTGGCTCCTCACAATGCCCGATTAGAGAAAAGGCAAAAGTTTTCACCCAGGATGAGGCCTTTCTGAAGGGTACACGTCTTATGAAGGCCTTGCCGACGACAGTGCAGCTCATTCATGCATGTGATGAGCAGACCCCATGTCCAGGCGGGTCACGAAGGGGTCATGCCTTAATGCCAGGATTGAGGACACTGCTAATCTACATGCGTGTACTTGTTCTCCTGTCAACATCGTCAAACCGCGTACGAGGGTCCAAACAGTAGATGTGGATGCGTGATGTGTTCTAAGGAGGGTTTACGACCCCAGAAATGATTCTGTTTCGAGGTTTTGAATGTGGTAGTTTTAATAATCACTTTTCTTGCCAAATATCTCCCATGCTGTGAAATTACAGCTGTATGTCAGCACTTTCTTTGTGATCTACTAATATGCTGCTACACAGAGGATATAATTAAGCAGAAGTTGTTACTACTCGTTGTGCTCTGAACCAAGGATGGCGGGAGTCTTTACCATGAGGGATTATTTTGCTTTTAATTTGCATCGTCGCCGGCCAGCGGTGAGCATTTTCCATCCTCATTTGTGCACATTGCAGCTTCACACCAGCTTCGGGGTTAACTCAGATGCAAAATTTCTGATAAATGGTTTACTCGTCTAGGTCAGGAAACTGTCGCAACTGATACGAACGAAAAGGCGACCAAATTTACTCTTCCACATTCATTAGGCCAGAAATGATCACCTGCTCGCTGCAGCTGCGCACTGGTCTTCGAGTCGCGTGTGGCAAGGAGAGGGCGGGCGAAGCGTGCATTGAAGGCGGCCTCCGAGGGAACAAGGAAGACGGGCATGAGGAAATAAAGGCAAGGTCAAATCTCACCCACTCGTTCTGCACCAGTGTGCCTGTCAGAATGAGGCGATGGCGGACACGAGGCCCCTTCACCACGTATGAAATCTTTGTGCAAAGAGACCATCAACAAAAGCAATAGCGGTGATAGCTATCTGGTGATAATTCATGTCTAGCTGGTAAAACCAATCCCACAATCTGCGTGATGAATGGAAACGCTGGAACTTGGATCTAACGGATATTTCCCACTACGTGCAAATTCTACTCGAAGATAACCCATAAGTATTAGGGCTTCTAAGGGTTGCCTAAGATTAAGCATCAGTGGGCGGCAATAAAATAATTTTTGCGTCTTTCCTTAACGGGCTTCTATGTTATATTTAGGTGTCATGTAATTATGCTTGATTAAAGTGGTCAAAATATTTGACAAGAAGTGCCTGTTTTTTCAATACACCCTTCCTAATATGACTTCCTGAATCCCAGTGCGATCTGCAATGCATAAGTTCAGCTTTGCGAGAGGTGGCGAATGCATTTTGCTACCATTTCTTATTTCAATTTCTTTATAAGTAGTCCAATTTCGAAACTTTGACACCAACCAAAAGGGCTTTAGGGTTCAATTATCATTCCGTAGTCAGATTTTACATCGTAAATATTCATCACTCACTGCCACCTAGGGTCGTTCAGTCCCTAGTTGTCGCTATCGAGTGGACCACGCAATCCGACTTTTAAGCTATGCTACCACGACCCATTTGAGGGCATCTCTCCTCTTGCTGAGATTTACAATTGTTCAGTTTCTTGCCAGAAATCCGAATGACCAACTGAATTCTCTTGGCTCAGAAATAGGCACTTTTGTCCAAGGAATAATATATCTGCAACTGCTCTGTCTGTCTGTCCGTTTAGAGGTCTTCTCTTTTCCCATAACTTAGAAAAAAGTGAATTAACACGACATCCATGCTTCTTTTCAATCTAGTTATCAGGTTGGTTAAATAACTCATTTAATTCAGTCAGAAATAAAAGCTGAAAAACCAAACACCACTTCGACCACTCTCAAGTCTCATGACGCTCACGCTATAAAAAGCAAATGTTAATAGATTAGACAAGTTAATAAAGTTCATTCGATGGCGCTTGGTACACCAAAGGTCGCCAAATCCTTGATACGGCTGTAAGCGGGGAGTTATAGAGGCTTCCAAGACTCCGAAGGCATCTCACAAGATGGTCCGCCTCACCTGACTCATCTCTACTGGCATTTATGATGACTGCAATGGGTAGTATCTGATGGGGTGCAAGAAATTCTAAGTCAGTTCTTTGATCAGCTATGAAAAATAGCAAAGAAACCACTAAAAAGATTTTGAAGTCGCAGCAGTCATGTTCATCCTGTACTCTTGAAAATGCATTCCTTCTGATGAAATAGCCAATATCCTTTTCAGTTGGATATGTAGCAATGATGCGCTTGTGCATACAGAGAAGACTCATGTGTACTGGACATATGTTTAATGGCAATTCATGGATTAAATCCATCAGCAGTTTACTTTTCGCATGCGCATTAAGGAATTTCTGAAAGACCGGCAGGACCTGAATGCGTACAGATCTGTGGTCTTGGTCTTGACCAAGTGGGAACAAAAGCATTGATAATAATCACTTTCTTCCTTTTGATGACAAATGGCTTTAGAGGCATTTTGAAAAAATGTTAAAGGTTGTGAGAAGAGTAGCTAGCAGAGACGCATGGCTAACCAGGTCTAGTGATTATACACTGACATTAAATAGTAGAGAATTGGTGCATTATGTGTATCCATGCCCATGCAGTGATTTACCAAATCCGGACCATATATGGACTGAGTGACATCGATGACGAGGTGTAGATAAATCGGGCCTTGGGGGAGGGTTTAAATTAACCTCACCCTGATGGTGGCACGTTGGGTCATTCCGTATCGTCTTGTCTGATAGTCACGTAATCATCATCCTTCTGATTGTCCTTTTGTTCAAATGCATCAAATAAAATGAGGTAACAGGAGAATTTGTAATCCTCTATAGGCAGTGAACACTTGCAACAGCACTTATGTGATCTGACAGCAGGGCATTCCTTAGGTAGTGGATGCACGACAGATCTGTCATTTTTCGATTCGAGTGACTGAAATATTACCCTGCCAAATAGCTTATTGAAGTTTATTGGCTAAAATACTGTTTTGAGAAGCAGACTTTTTAAGATAGTGGCTATCAATTGCAAAAATGTGAATAATTTTGGAGCTACACAAGCCAAACTGATAAAGTGGAAGAAACAGTGGAACCTACTCAGCTGGCCTGTTTGCAAATCGCCTTGTCCAACAATACATTAGTTACAGTAAAATTTTCATGTTAGTGTTTTGAGTTGCCTCGTCAATTTTACCGACAGACACATGATATAGGTGAGGTTATCGGCATTTTATATCACCTTATAGCTCAAAAAATTCCATTTAAAAAGTGTTTTTCGTGTTTGTGAATAATTTTACAGTTTGGTTCATTCAGAAATCTTAGGTATTTCAGCAAGCCCCGTAATCCCTAATCACACACAAGTGACTACTCATGCGGAGAGAGTGGGTGTATTTAATGCAAGAAGAAGTAGTAATTCTGACTATCCCCAAAGAGTCAGATGTTCTTCCTAAAATCACGCTTACTAGTTGGAAGCATACCTATTTAAGTAGTATGTGAGCCGAAAAACTTGGGTGATGCACAAGCGTTGCCTCCAATGATATCTACAGCTATTTAGCACTTGGTTCTATCAAACAAGAAACATGGAACAACTGTACCTTGTTCCGCCTTCAGCATTACCAAATTTGATCGAGAATAAAGTTTGTATTCTATTTGCTGGAAGTTTGATTTTATTTCACACAGCTTCCTCACTTTCATATGAAAACATGATTAACGAGGCAAAGTGACTCATTTGACATTGACCGGCATGCACACGTCTCAGGCGTGATTACTCCGTCCTCCTTCCCGGGGAGGGGGGGAGGAATTTTAACCGACCTCGAGCAAACCTTCGCCATGAGGTGGTAATAATCCTTGTAGTAATGAGGCAGAGCCTCAGAGATATTCGGTTCCAATACACCAAACAATTTTTTTCAGTCCAACGCCATGTGAATAGTAAGGCCTTTGGCTGGATAAATTATCACTTCAAAACATTAGGTAATAAGTGGCATGGTTTGGTTTTATAATCCAGCAGATTATGCATAAAATGACAGAGAAATTATGGTGTAGGGACAGCTGGTAATGTCTTCGATGCATACCAGAATGTCAGTCTTAACAAAAGCGAATAATCTTTGGAAAACCCGAAAAAGTCACTCCACTCACAACCGTGGTAACCCTACACCCTCGTGAAACAATTATGATGATGTGATTAGGATGTCTCATCCATGTCCTAGCTGATAAAACGCCCAGGGCCTTCGTGACGGAGACTAGATAATGTCAATCTAAGCTGATTTTCAGCCTGCCATGGTACTCTAGTGTCCCAAATGGAATGATCAAGTTAGCTGCATTAACTTATGTTTTAATTCATCGCTCCCAGAGGACTTCAGTAATTTCCTCTTCCTTAGACTAGATTTAGATAAAGACCATTTTAAACTGCACGCTTATTCTAAAAAGCTCAAAGAAAAGTAAAATCGTTGATTCAGAACTGGCCTTAGGTATACGACTTAATCCAGATGTTCTTAATTTGTAGATCGCTTGTGTAACCACTTTCCCCGTAGCAGGTATTATCACATCACCCTCTTCAGACTCTCAACACATCCCCCAAAACTACCTAAATTAATTCTCCGAAACTCATTTTACAATCTCAGAAATGCAATAACTCAATTTGACGGAGTCCTAGACACTGGTTGGTTATGTAATTTCCCATAGGTAACGGACATTTTTGTGTTGTGGACGGAAAATTAACCACAACACTCCCACGATCCTAGATATGCACTTACATGCATTGCAATGCCAAAGGTTTGATGGACAATATGTTTGACAGAATATTCTGGTGTTCTTCAATCAGCTTCCGTAGTTGGTATGATACTTCGGCTACTTACTTACGCTTATTGTTGAGAAAATCATTGGATGTTGATATTAACGGATTGGGTTGACAAAGGCGTTGAGGCATCAGATATCACAGTGTCAGGATGCAAAATTATTGGAAAATTTGTCAGTGTACTTGTCATCTGCAGTGTTTACTAGCAAAAGTAATCAACACGGTGGTTTTAGCTTAAGCTATTTCATTCAAAATCACCAAGTTGCTCCCCATCATGCGGGAATTTCTTCACCAGAAATGGAAATCAAGGTTTCAATACACCCTTTGTTTTTGGCAAGATGAATATATTACTTAATTCCTATAAATTGTAGGAGCAACTTATTTATGCTTTCATTTATTTTCGTTGATCGCCTCGAACTTATTTTATACCTACCGATGTAAGGGGGGTTACGGTTGAATGGACTCGTCTAGATTGCGGATGCCATTTTTCTTTGCTGGAACATTTCAGAAGTGCTGGTGGACACTGAAAGTAACAATACTAATAAAAGCGATTATGTAGAGAAATTACTCGGCAATTTTAATGATTTAATGGCATTGCCACTAGTAAATTTGGTCAAGAACTAAAGTTTTTTGCTTCATGAATAATCAATGAGAGGATTATAAACTTGAGGAGACCATAATGATGGTTCCTAGGTGACAAAATTTTTGGAAAAAACGGTCCTTTTGGGCTTTGAGAATAATGTGGAGCATAAGATGGGTTATTTGGTAAGTTCTGGTCTCCTCATGATTTGATTAATGTGAGTTGATCTAGTGGCGCCAAGTCCAGTTGGAAAGCTGGTAGCGACAACAGGCGAACTACGGCGGTAGCTACCGGAAGTTATTAAACGCCATAATGCCCTGCGCCCAAACCAGGTCGGCCAGGTGCAGTATTTCCTACACAGGGCTACCTGTGCTTGATCACACCGTCTCTAACACACTTAACCCACAACCTACAATGTCATACTGTCGAGGAGCTGTCAAATAAAACAAACCGCTTTCAGCAAAAGACCATAGCTATTTACACCGACAGAGGCGAGGATTGGGAAAGGGATCAAAGACAGAGAAGAGAGGTGAAGGCAATGTCACGTCGATGGCTGTGTAGTAGTAGGGATTAGTCCAATGAGCGCTCGTATTTCGGGAGTGATGGAGGGGTGCTCGTGTCGGCGACAGAGGCGTACCAGTTGCTCCCGCTCCTCTGGACGGACACCCTCACGGTAGAACTCCAAGAAGGACAGGAGGCTCTTGAACCACGTCAGTGGCATTCGACCCTCTGATGTGAAATACATGGAGCAGTTTGCATTGTCGAATCTATTCAAACGAAATATTTAAAAAGATAAAAGGAGCGGATGGAATCGAACTGTGCACATGCGTGAGTGCACGACAAATTTATTCGGCGCAGATGGGCAATTCATGGATGAACAGATCAAGTGTGAGCAAGTGGGTATATACGCAATGAAAGGAAGGATCCCTAGTGGAAGGATAACTGGACGGCCCTAAGATGACTGGAAATGGATACGGAAAAGTAGGCAAATAAGAACAAAACAAACGACTGTACAAGCAAAGAGGGAGCAACTCACGAAGCAAAGTAGGCGACTAGGCGAGCGACAGCATCCTCGGGCAGGAAGTATCGTTTGTTGATGATGGCCTCAATTACCATGGAACGTGGGATTGAGAAGTCCTCCTCGCAGGTAAGGCTCAGGGCCACTGCAGAGAAATGCGCCCGAATAGAAGCCTTCTTGATGAGGTGTGCCAGAATCACCCCCTCTGTCTTGCTCATCTCCGACTGTAAGGGAAAAAGGAAAGGTAAAATTGGAACCGGTCTCTACCTAGTTCTCGAGAAGCCAGTGATCACTACTGTTATGACACCTTGAGTTGATCATGAAGAAGTGCAACACGAATTTAATGGTACTTGGAGTCAACATTCGTCCATAGAATTCCGGAATTACGAGACGACTTTCGAAGAAAACGACCAGAATTGTTTGGCAAACCCTATGCCGGCACATAAAAACCGTGAAACTTACCAAATGAAGGATAATTAAACTAGAGTTCATTGAGTAGAAGTGGCGTGCTACTGAAAGCGATGCTGGAGACAAATCTAGACTCAATCCTTGTGCTTTTCAGCTACACATTCATCAGCGATTTATTTCACAACCTCAATACGGTTGCAAATAGCATGGTAAAAATATCTCTATCACAGAGACTCGATAGCCTGATCTAATTCAATGGAGAGAGTGTTTTATCTGGTTTTGAAGAGACTACAATGCAGCGTGAATTGACATTAGATCACATTCGAGTAAAACCGCACGGAAAAAGCAAAACTGAAATACGAAATAGCTAGTAAATAGACTTTCCTTTATCCATGGGTAGAATATGGCAGCCAAAAATTCACGAATACGAAATAAGGAGGCGATCAGAGCCTCAAACAAATGCACACATAGGCGTCCATTCTCAGCTATGTCGTTGCGCACTTTAGGCAGGAGATAGTCCTCATAGAAGCTAAAGTCAAGCCAAACACGGCAATATAGAACCAACAAAGCATTAGTCAACCACTCCATGCTAGCATCTACATGTCTGAAAATAACGTACTGGGATGCTTGATCTCCTCCTTTTGAAGCGAAAACTTTGACAATCCGAGGATAAGCATGACTGGTCCACTCCAGTGGAGAGAGCATTTCCAGTAGACTATCATACCCGGTTAAATGCGGGAGCATTTTGATGGTTTTAGGAAGAGGGCCACTGCGATAGTGCGATAAGACGTCTTTTAACAGGCGAATGTGATTTTTCAACTCATCTGGTAGCTCCTCGAAGTCATCAACCGCTTTAAAGTCATCGAGATCCGGCAGGCTCCCGCAATATTCCGACATTTCTTCAGCGACCTACAAAAGTAGAAGTAGCAACTGACAAGCATAAAACCTACCACAGATTTAGCCTCATTGATGTTTTGAAGGAGTTCACTCGAGTAGGCACCATCAGAGTCTGCACTAGGTTTGAAGAACTTCTCCCACTCTTCATTATATTCGTCTTCATCGTCAACATGGAGAGGCGGATTCTTGTTAACGGCACTAACTTCTTCGTCTGATGACTCACTACCACCGAGATTTAGCTTCTCAACCTTTTTCCTCCTAGTGAAAATACATACACCAGGGAAAAATTACTGACTTAGGGACGAGGTCATTTTCTTCATTTGACTGCTTCAGTAGCTTATGCAACCTTTTTACTGACCGCTCATCAAGAGCCTTAAAACACAAAATATCAATAAATAAAGACTACATCTGTACTATCCAATTCTTCACGCCTCCTCTTACTTCTTCCTTTCGGCATGATGAATGTGATAGTGTGGATAGAATAGTGGTGGAGAAGTGGGCTAAAAGTGCTATTGATTATGTCTGTAAAAGGGGTGAAAGCATGGCCAAGAAATACTGAAACATATCAAACTGTTTATGCTAAGTCAACTATTAAGCTTTAAAGTAATTTTAAACGACTTTTAGGTGCAGTTTTAAAGCGCATTAAGTGCTGTTTGCTGCACCGGATGTGTTGTCGTAAACAGAAAAATATCATCAATCGCCTAATCACGTGTTATGCCTTTGCAAAGCAAGATTTTATTGGTTAAATTTATAATTTAACTTGATTTTATACACTTCTGTGCGATTATTGATGATAGGCTCGCTTTGTTCAATATTTCTTATTCGGTGTAATAAGTTTTCGCCTCCTTGAAAAATTATAAAGACAGTTTGCGCCATTGCAAATACTGAAATTATTGATGAGCACTTGTAAATTGATCACAGTACTTAGCGCTTTGGACTTATGTCTTAGTTTTATTGCCATTTTTCAAAAGACAGGGAATATATCGGTTTGATGAACCTTTCGGCGATTACACTGCTCATTTCTAAATCCATTTTTCCTCTAACTCTAAATTTTAAATTAAAGGTTATATTTACCTAAGAAACCTGTTCATTTTACTTTGACTGGGAACAAATATCGCCGTTAGGGCGCCTACTAGTGTAGGTGTATGTTCGGTGGATTCCTTGGATGGATAGAGTAGTGAATATGGTCTCAGCAGAGCCGCTGGTTAATGAAAAAGCCAGTATTTCAAAGACAACACAAAGCGTTCGATGTAAATCCTCCCCCTTATGCCACAAGGACAAAAGTTTTGTGGCATGTTTCGTGCTAAGCATCTTGATGTCATTTCTGATATCCGGTATAATTTTCCCCGATCTAGGCTAAAGTGACCTATTTTGTAATACGATAGTGGTTCATCCCTCGGTTCTGGTGAGGCGCCACTTCTGTTACTTCGAACTAGCCCCTTGTGGCTCGCTGGGTGAGGGCTTTTGGGCCATGATAATAGCCCAGACACCTTCTCTGTGCTAAATATATATATTCTGCACGAGTATTACGTCTTCTTTCGTCTTCAAGGAGTCTCGGGACACTACAAATCTTCTCTCTGCCAGGATAGAGTACAAGTCTGTTTGTACTAGTTTATTCGCCTAAGGACATGTACATTATCAACGTAGGGAAGAGCCGGCCGGACCGAGGGCTGTGCAGCAGGGCGGTGGTACAATTCGAGGGAACAAAAGTGCTCGCACACTTAAACATGTTGTTAGACAAGCCACCAAACCGTCACGAAACATTCGCTTTTCACTGGTTACCACTTCAGTTACAAGAAGTCATTACGTCGATTTGGCTTTAAAATAAGGATTTTAGGGGATTTAAATTCATAGAACTGAGGTTCCATTTTCAGTTATTTGGAGGAGCCTATCAATGAATTACAATCTTTTTTAGTTCAAAATATTTTACAACCAAATGATTGCCTTACAAATTCATGAAACCTAAGCCTAACCACAGAAGAGAAAAACAAAAGATTACGGAATTTAAATCCCATTATAGTTTTTCTTTGCTAATCTCATTTGTAGCACAGTATTCTTAGTCTTGTCGCCTCTTTTTGTCATCAAAGTCGAATGAGAAGTCGCTCTAGGACTCTTTTCGGTAATCCATGGTAGGGATCGACTACTGAATTGGGCGTTGTATAAACCACCCAATCCGCATTCTCTTGTGAGAAAACAGCCACTCTGTGGACTTCAAATTGCGCACAATAGATATTTCATATCACCAGTAACTCGATCTCGAGCAATGAGGGACTGTACCACATTCTATGGAAAAGAGTTGTTCTATCATCTCGTCAACCCAACTTGCGTTCAGAGTGTTACCGTAATTTACGGCGCATCATCATTGGCGATGACAAAAGCTAAACCTGACCTCAGTGGCCTTCTTCTTCCTCCTCCTCTTCTTTTTCTTCATAAGTTTCCTTATCCCTTCTGTTACAGACTTCTTTTTTCGTCGCCTTCGCCTTCGACTCACTTACTTTAAGCGTTCGGGTTTAATTGCAAACAAGTTTGAAGAGGCGTAATTGGTGGTTTAAAAGCAAAATTAAATGAAATAGTAAGCAGGCTGAAGAGATATGAATTTTTAAGATGAGCTTTTTTGAATCACTAAAGCAAATATGTTACAGTCAGGAGATAGTCTTACTTCTCAAGTTGTCGGATGTGGCTAGACCAATATCACTAATTCGAGCTACACTAGTGGTTAACTAAATGTACTTTTTCAGGAGTAACCCCAAATTAGACAATTTTGATAAGTAAGGTGTTAGATTTATGCCGTGAGTCTCATACAATTAATTCTTTAATCATATGATCGTGTACTTGAACAAAACATCACTGCCAATATTTCAATCTTGTATTGCCATATTGCCACTGTATCCAACGAAAGCCAAAAAGTTATGCTACCACAGTATCGAATTTGAAGCTTTAATTGAGAATAAAAGTGCTTCAAATTTTAATGAAAAAAGTTCACAAAGCCAAGGCATACAGTCTACCCGTAGTGGAGCTAGCTGGGAACCTACATTCTCTGGCAAAATTAATCCCTTGGAAGTACTTCACAATATGGGTGTCAAATATATGAGAAAAATTAAAATCAGAAGCAATATGTAGCGTCTTGAGACTCTCTGAAGACGAAAGAAGACACAATACTCGGGCAGTATATATATTCAGCATGGAGAAGGTGTCTGGGCTATTGGCATGGCCCAAAAGGCCAGCACACCCAGCGAGGTACAATGGAGCTAATTCAAAGTACAAAAGTGGCGCCTCACCAGAACCGAGGGATAAACCACTATCGTATTACATAGCCTCCCTTTGCTTTTGAGCTTCGTCCCCGGCGCTCCCGCGTCAGCCATTACAACGTAGTCGGTGCAGTGAAGAAAAACCTACGAGCCAACCGTGCCAGTCACCAAATTAGCGCACAACTGAGGGGATACTTGACCTCAACGTCACTGATCCCTCTTGGCAGCTTGACTGGATCTGGAGTTTTGTTCGGTTTAGGGATTTGATTCAGAACATGGAATTGCGCCGGCCATCATGCGTGTTCATAGATAGATGCAGGAACACTGGCCTAAAAGCAGATATGAGTAAGGGAGGACAAGATTTAAAACAGGTCCATGGGGGACGGTAGGGGAAATCCGTAACGAAACTTCCAGATGGTTCATGGCTAGTGCCGCTTCAGTTGTTAATAGCTTTTCTGCAGAACAAGGGACTGGGAGAGATGCCGAATGTAGACGTCAAAATCAACCCTTCTACTAGGGGTCATCACCATTCTCCCATCCGTAGCATATGTACTTCTCCCGCTCCACTAAGGCTTATCACGCAGAAGTGGAAAATCAGGATAAATGTCTTGTAAGATCGGGTTCGCTTTCCGCTGCCACCAATGTAGCATCTTGAGACTCCCTGAAGACGAAAGAAGACACAATACTCGGGCAGAATATATATATTCAGCACGGAGAAGGTGTCTGGGCTATTGGCATGGCCCAAAAGGTCAGCCCACCCAGCGAGGTACAAGGGGGTTATGGTATTACAAATAAGTTAAGGTGACCCTAATTTGTGGTTGCTATGTGACAGAAGTATGTAAAAGAAAAAACTAACAATTTGTGGTAAAAAATTGCAATACCCAGAGGACTTTTCCCCGGTATTCATTCACTTTCCTCCACCAACCTCACCGTTTTGCATGGAGAAAATGATTATTTAAACAATCAACTATATTATGTGCACTGGTATTTGTTATCCAACAAAGTAAGAGTTGAATGAAGAGGCAAAGGAAGTTACCTCCTTGCCGTGATCAAAAACTTGGTGTCTTCTATATCTCCCAACAGTACCCCCAATGATGTACTCAAGAAGCTTCTTTTGCTGCACTCCATGACATTCAAATGTGTAGCACCCGATAGAGCAAAAGCCATTTAGTTCATGCCATCATATTTTAAGACTAGTTGGGACTTCATTCTGCATTTGAAGATGTAAATGGCCAAGTGTGGCTGAGATTCTCAACTGAGAGAATGACTTTGGAATCAATTTATTGTAGGCATGAGGACAACAGACTTTCAACAAAGCATGGTCATCCACTCTGATCAAAGGGTCTAGATAATCCTGATCAAATTAAAGCAGCATGAGGATGCAAAAGAAGGGAAGGAAGCCAAAGGGATCTTTTTGTTTGGTTCATTTCGTGTATAAAACTCAAAGATAAAAAGAGAATACAGCTTCAACCCACGAATTGCGACTCCTAAGTGACTACTACCAACACCTTGTTTTCGGTCCATCAGCTCCAATTTTTTGCACTAAGATTTTGAGAAATGTGAGTTCCGTTTCTAAAGTACCACAGACAGGAGAAATGTTTCAACTGTGGTAAAGCGGATCCTATTGAGCGAGAACGTAAGTCCACGCCAGCATGGGTATTAATTGTTAATTTTGATCTTGTTGTAAAACCTCCGACTGAACATGCTTCCACATTGTCCCCATTAGCTTTAACTTTTGTACTTTTGGGGAACCATGAAGACTTCTTCCAGCTAATGTCCTAGAATCGTCATTAATTGGAAATCCGGGTTACACGCATTTTACTTTTGAACTGAGGCTGCCCCGGTACACTAATAAAGTTATTTGCTGGTACTGGCGCTGAGGACCGATATTTGGCGTCAAGCTCCAGATCCTTTATTCTTGAGCTCAAGGTCTCGCGTTTACAACAGGCTTAAGTCTGACAGGATAACTCCAGAATTATGAGAAAAGCTATGAATTAACAATGAACTTCTCGCATCTGTAGTGGACTCCAGGGCAGATACCCTTACTAAGCGACTTGTGCCGCTAAGAGGGACTTTTTGAGCCTGGTGGCCAGCTATTTGAGAGTGGGTAGTCTTGGTCACGCGTAGTGTAGTCATGAATGATCTTAAACCCAAATTGTGTTAGCACATTTGTGTTGTGGCCAAACTTACAGTCAATCAGGATGGACTGAATGGGAGGCATTTTACAAGAGGTTAGCGAAAATGGGAGCTCCTAGGAATCACCTTATGCCATCATTATCTAAGTCGTCGGCAACTATGGTACAACATTGGAACAATTGAGCTCACAATCCACAACAGCTGTTTAAAGTCCATTCTCCATGTTGAAAACTTAGCCCGACTTGGTGATGCTGAAGCTGATTGTGACAAATCTAGTTGCCTTTTGGTACAAATGCCCTCAGGTAAACGTGATAAAGTTGTACCCATCATTTTCACTCTACCTCGATGATAGACTCTGCATAAGCTCTGCCGATTTCTGAGCCTTTACTGACGCCATTATTGCCCATTTGTAGCACCTGATGAATATGTATGATATATTGGTCATGCGATTCTACCACCGACCCCGAGATGCACTGTTTCTGGAGGTCCTCATTTCCCTTATCTTCCTATCTGCATTGTAAAACCTACAGCAAGACTTACCTACTGGCGACCCCAGGTAAATTACGATAATAGGCGCCAGGTGCTAACGCAAAATTCATTCCAAGCCGTCAAAAAGTTGTCCGCAGCTTACTGCTTATGATGTAGTCCAGTGTGTGCATGCTGGTTAAATGATCAACTTCTTAATAAGTAGTATAATGCTTCGAAGATGAAGAGTTTACTTAGTGCGCTCGACCTAATTAAAAAGAGAATGAACTGTAGAGAATTGATGTGTTATTTAAAATATGCCTAAATACACATTTGTTTGAGGCTCCGCAGATTGTACTTTTCCTCTACGGCATGGCTCTTGGACTATGGCGGTTGACCCTCAGTCCTTCTCTGTGTTATAAGTAGTACATATTCTTCCACATGGGTTTGGCTTATTACGGCCCCAGCAAAGACCTGAAAGGATACGCTGACTAAATTCATTTAAAATGATCAAGAATTAGTTTAATCAACATAAAAATAAAAGGTGATGATAAAATTCTAGTGAAAGGAAAAAACTTAGGCTATCGTTAATTTTTAAACAAATTCGTGGATGGAGCAACTTTGTGAGAAAAAACCTGTAATGAGTGTAAGATAAGGATTAAACATCACAAATAAAGGCCTGAATTTCGGTGGATAATTTCTCATTGTTCTGTTAAACTGAGGCACTTTTAAAAGCAGTATCAAAAAACGACAAATTTAGAGTCACCAACTTTTTCCTTTCATCTCAACTTTCTCGAGACTTGGGAAAGCACTTTTTCAAACGTTTTTGATTAACTTTTCGAGTTCTTATGCCTTAATTTTGTACAATAATGGAATAGGAGTTAATTTAATGACCAAATTAGTGTATTATTCTGGAGCTTACTTGGAGGCCGCAGTAGTTGAAAAGCCAGTTGAAAGTGACAATAAAAATGCACAATTAAATCAAGTTCGTAGAGTCATTTTTCAATTACTAGTCAAAACGGCTTTTTGACCTCTCCACCTGTTTGTCACGTCACCTTATTACTTTCGGCCATATTTCCTGTCAAGCGTCATTAGCTCTGATCACAGCTTTGATCTTAGTGTCAACACCACTGTCGTCCTTGTTACATCACATAGTCACCTGGTCTATCATTAAGGTAACGCCAACTCCGATGTGCCGTAAAGTTAGAGCGCAAAGCTCCCTCAGGTGGTCCAGGAACTCGTAGCCTCCTCATAACTCTGCCAATTAATTGCTATAACCTGCACCTCTCAGGTTGTGTCTAGTCAGATATAATGAAGAAATATGTGAATAAGGCTATTTTTTTCCTGTCTGGGACATAAAGGGAAGAAAAGAGGAACGCTTTGACATCCAGACCTAACAAGAAGTAGAGAAGTTTAAATAAGTACCTCGTCGTTAAAGAGGAGAAAGTAGGAGGAGCCCTTTTTGTCAGTTGCACCAAACCCAATTAGGATACTAACTTGTAGAAATCAAAGAATACGAAGACGGCTTCCATGAAGGCCTTTATTATGATAAAGGAGCTTTATTATGATATAAGGCGCTTTGCGTCAAACAGCCTCCGCACCATTGCCGAGTTATTTTTGCTACACGCCAGTTAATACAAATGAAAACTTCAAATTTCGCTAGTCTGTAGTATTGTGGAATGGTGAAACCCACCTTTCATATCCTTATAAGTCATTAGCTATTAAGGTAATGTTGTGGACCCAGTAGCTGGCGAATTGCAGACCAAAATCAGGTCACTCATCCTTTCCATTATAAAATTTGCAAAATAACGAATAAAATACTTTAATTGCAATCCAACTTACTGATGTAACATAAACGCATCTTAACATTTAATCAGAGAAAACTCCGATTTATCACTGACACGATGGAATATTGGTAGTATTTATCTTTGTAGGTGTAAGCCACTTGTATCACCGTAATGACCTATTTATTCACATATTTAGATATCCTAATAAAACATTAATAAAAAGCCGACCAAAAAGAGGCTACGAACACATTCATTGAAAGAATTGGACTGCACTAGGCATGAATGTGGTAAGTTCAGGTGGTAGTTGAATCGTACAGTAAAGGACATCGAAAATCAGACCTAACGAACCACCAAAATGGACGCTAGAAATGGAAAAGTAGAGGAATGAAAATGGAAGAAGTGGATGTTTGTAGCAATGTGGACAACAAAGACCAGATAAAAAAAGGAGGAAGAAGGGAAAGGAGTATAGAGTGGGAGGAAAAATCACGCAGAAGTCAAGTTTAGTTCTAGCCTTCACTATCGTTAATGCAGCACCACGAGGCAAAGCTGAGAACAATGAGCTGTACAAAAGGCAAAATGACGAGAAGACCATAGCAGGAAAATTTAAACCTTACTGCACGTCAGAAAAATCAGAAAAATTGTGAATAAGTGCAATAAAATATCTTCAAGATGAGAAAATAATATGGTTTAAAGAACAGAAAGAAAAATAATATTAAGGCAAAAAATATGATTATAAACAGAATCAAGAAAAGAGAAAGAAGAATTTCCGCAATAAAAAATATATCCACGTAAAATGACAAAAAAATATAATATCGAGAATGCATGCGCGCAAGGAAAAATAACATGTGCCGTAATAAATTCAAATGGCAAAAAATGATTACGAAAATGCATACCTAAGTCAAAATTTGCTCATCAACGACAAAATGGAAAAAAATATTTTCAAGAAAGTAATCTTAGCAACATGTATTATAATCACTTGAATTAGTAAGATAAAAATTCAAGAATACATAACTCAATAAAAATCGCATCACAAAGTACATAAACACAAAATGATATCAGGTAAGTAAAAATAGATTTTGAGAATGCAAAAGCTAGCCAAAGTATTCTAATTATTTATGAAAAAGGGGTCTTAATGCACGTAATAATAAAACATGTTAAAAAAAAGAAATACAAAAATAGGACTAATTTGCTGAAAAATGATAAGATAAAAGGAGGTATAACGTGAGTAATCATGAAAAAAACCACAAAAAAATAAAATGATAAGGAATCTATAGTGTAAATAAAACATAAAATAATTAAAAAGGGGAAATTCCTTACAAAACAAAGGAGAGGGAAGAAAAATAAGGGTAAGAAAAAAAAGCATAGAACTAGGCAAGATAAAAAAAGGAAGCAGGCGTAAATAAAGAAAGCGAATATGAAACAAGAAAAACACACAAAAAAATACAAAAAATAATATCTCTCAGGCGCTCAAAAAGAAGGTGCGGTGAAAAAGAATATAGCAAGATGGGCATTGGGGAGTGCCTGTGGCAGATGGCATCTGCTATTTCACCACATATATGCCAATGGAATCCCCTCTATTTGTGGATGAAATTTATTAATATTTCTTTTGTAGCCTCTTTTGTTACAAATATGTGCCTTTTTTATGCATTTCTCTCTATGTGACCCAATTTCTCTTTAATTTCTTCGACCTTTTTTGTCCTATCTGATCTATCTTCCACCTCTCTCCGCTTCAATTTCGTCTGCACTGTGTCTGCTTGGCGCATGTCTGTGTTTGTTGAAGATAGCACAAGTAATTGCAACATTATATGTTCGATAAGTGTATGAGTTTGATTGAAATGCTTCTGCATCTTGAAAATGGTGAAAATTTGCAAAAGTGGAATGCTGCTTATTGTTACTTTCACTTTCTTATATACACAACTAAAGCACTGTAGTTTTGTCCTTGCAAACTTAGCATCAAGCTGCTCCGTTGAGCTCACGTTTTTATTTTATTTCCTATCCTCAACTTCAGATAAAGTATAATCAAATTGACAGCCCTTAATATATTTTAGAGTGAATTTTCCCCGGCTGCATTTACCTGCTCATGCTTACTGATGAATATTCAATAACTACGCTTATTTGCATTGGATAGGTAGATCATTAAATGGATGAGTAAGCAGATAAATAAGGAATTATTTGAATGAATATTGTTTGAACATATGTTTGAAGGATTAAAGAGTTAAAATACTGAATGGGTGCTAATAAAACAAACAAGTGACTAATTGATGATGGAATGCTAGACGGAGAGAATATTAGCGGTCATAGGGAGGAAAGCGGTCGAGGATGGGCCTTGAAGTGCTAGATATTTCGATCCGGGTGGGATAAATATAAACAAGGAATCTGAAATAATTAGGCGGAAAGTAGTTTATAGGTAGACGGGTGAAAATATGGTTTCGAGACTGCTGAATAATTGTTGCATGAACAGAGAAAAATGAGAAAATATAGAGTTTAAATTGCTGGGTGAACCCTAATTCATTGTTGAATGGTGTGATGGGTGATTCTCCTTCTGGAGTTCACATTTGCATGGAGGCAGCCGATTGTGACCGCTTGTCCCTCCTTACGCTTGGTCTGCCAGTTGGCATCTGGATCGGGCATTCTTCCACGGAAATCTAGGACTTGTTCAGGAGCCATATGGCCTAAAATTAGGTGTGGTTTAAGTCCATACATAAAATCTTCAGTGTGCTAATATCGTCGGCAGTGTGGACCAGGCTGTTGTTGCTGTTACTGCAGCTGGAGTTTCTGGACATGAAGCGAAGATAGAGACTGTACCCTGCCATTTAGGGTAGGTGAGGACCGCTAATAGGTGGTAAGAAAGTATTTTAGATCAGCGTACGTTACTATCATTGACTTTGCCGCCTTATTTTATCAAAACGGTTGCCAACAGTAGTAGGTACCACAATCCGGATAAACTTACCGAATTACCTCCCTTTCACGCACATGACCAAGTCACTCTAGCTTATTCATATGATAATAAAGGCCCTTATTTTACCTCCAGTATGTAATTAAGATAACTCGGTGTTGCACTACTTCCCCTGATACTACTCAGGAAAAGCGCAATCTAGATTCGGAAAATGATCAAGATATTTAAGATTGCAAATACGGACGATGCTCAAATTGGGATACAAATAGCTACAGGAAGAAGGGATTTCAAAAAGTTCGTGTGGAGTAACTCAGTTCCTCGGCAGCCATCGGTCAAATCTCCTCCTGAGAGAAATTTTAGAATTTTCAAAAAGGATTTAACTAATGAGTGCCTGTAGTGGAGGATCAGCAGAAAGCTCTTCCACAGCCCGACCGCCGATGCAGTAACTTGCAGCACATCATAATTAGTATCCTGCGCGGGTAGTATGCACAAGAAACGTGTCGGAGAGGAAAATAGAAAATTTTATGTAGTTTGGTGATTAAGAAGACCAAATATCTTCTGCTTTAGATTTTGACTGGTAAACACTGGTGATTGCTTTGGTTAGCCCGTTTGGCAATATTTTATTCAGGTAAATACTTAGTGCTGCGTAAATACGGCGAACTCAACAGCTACTAAAGTGTGGCTGAACCTAGGAATGGAAGGTACGTGGGAGAGATCTGGAATTGATAGGCGGATAGATAGGGATAGGATGAACATAAATAAATAATCAGGAAGGAGTGGACAGACTGGTACATCTGGAGCGTATGGATGAGCAAATGGTTTCGAGAAGTCTGAATCCATACTGGATGAGTAGAGGAGAAGTTGAAGAGCCTGGGTTTTAAATTGGCATAGGAACGTTAAATGCTTGTTATTGTTTGGGTAAGGTTACCCTTTTCTAAAGGCTACTTTTATCTACAATTCTTACGAAAGCTACGATACTAACCTTAAATCTCCATCTTATCCTATAGAACTTGTATACTTACCCTCGATTGAACTTGGGGGCGTGTGTATGTGAAACCTTCGGCAGGCGTTTTAGGCGGTCATTGGGACGTTTAAGGAATTTACTTTCTGACCCAAGCTAACCCCTTAGCACATGCGAACAGGTACATCATCCTATCTGACTCCCATCGTAAGGTCATGCGCTTCAATATGGCATTCATATGACAAAGCACTTTGGTGGACATGGCATTGCAGCACTTAGTCGCCACTCAAACATGCTACTCATAATTACGTCTTCATCAAAAGGTCACCAGCAAAGCTTTTCCTCTGCATTTTCCTTTTGAAATGCAAACGACTGAACCGGTGATCTCGGTAAGGGTGCTTTTAAATGCATTTTAAAAGGCATTCAAACAGATAGTCAAACAGGCAGATGAATGCAATGTTTCTTCAGGCAGCGTACAAAAACAAATTAAGCAGTTAATTTTTATTCCAGTCCATTGCAAAAGCACAGAATACCATCATCTCAAATGCGAAAGAAGCGGAATAACCAAAGTACTCATCACCACTGATTTCCTTCAAGCCCAGATATTTGCAACGGTGATGGAGACAATGAAGAGAAAGATGGTTTTAATAGCTGTTAGTCAATGCGGTGGATAAAATAAACGAGAAGTAAAGAATGAAGAGGACAAGTATTTTGTGTGGTTCTTGGAGAGGACGGTAAGTGCAGTACTGGAAGGTGCTGTCTGCAAATTCTGTTCATCAGTCCCATCATGACAGATGCTGCATTATGCTCAGACAGGAGACTGGTCTCCTCATGCCCACTACCTCAAAAAAAGTTGCAATAACCCGCCTGTCGGATTGTGTTTGAACACCTCACAATATCTATCATTGCATAAGTGTCATTAAGGTAACAGCAACATATCATCGGCAGCAAAAGTTGCCGAGGCCTGAGAAGCCAGCAAGAAAACAATTCGCAATATGAAGAGTAGTGATGGTTTGTCTGGATATATGATATGAACCAAAAGGGAGGATTTATAACGTCATTAAAAACGCCTTTGTTATGACCGCTGTTTTCTTATTTTTTATTTCAAGAAATGTACGGACATCTTGTTGTCTTGATGAAAGCATGGATATCAGTCCAAATAAAGAGCTAATCTCCTAAAACGGAGTTCAGAAGGTGCGTTAGCTTAAGATCTTTGTGACTTTAAAAGCGAAAGTGGGTAATTATAAGCTTTGTTGGATGGTCTAAGCCTTCCAAGATCAAGTTTGTGCATTTCGCAGGACAGATTGGAACAAAATATCTTCCAGGGACGGCTATTCTAGTTTCAATCATTCGAAAAATACTTGACGTTCATGTAGCAATTTAGGTCCCAACATCTTCTTTCTCTTACTAATCCAATATGGACTCAGCCATCTCATAACTACCCGTTCATCTATCCGGTACCCATTCGTCTGTCGACTTACCCCTGTTTCCCTGTCTATCTCCACACTTTCAAAATTTACCTATCAATCCAACCCAGTTTTATACTAAACACCCTTCGTTCTAAATCAACCCAGATCCGCGCCGTCTGGATTCGAATATCTATATGCCACTTGTTTGTTTTATCTGCCACCATTTAGTAAACTCGCCCCTTAAATCCTTTGCCTGACCACGCCCTATCCATCCACCCAGGTCTTCATCCATCTGCCTGCTTTTAGTCAATCCGGCGATTTATTCCATGCACATTAATAAACTTATAGAATATTGTCGACGGAAAATGTCCTCATGTACGTTTTGGACGGTAAGCCTTATAGCATAGCTAGGTAGCTGCCTAGCTCATCTCATTCCCCTTGCCAGGAATAACCTGAGTGCGATTCCTCCCATCCTACCCCTTTAGCCTCTTACTGTCCACGGTGCAAATACATGAATTTCTCACACCTTTTTTCCTTGTCCACCGATGCACGTTTGTATCAACTTGGTGATCCACATTTCAGTCACTCATGTCTCTGTTAAAAGGCAAAAGTGATACAAGTTACTTCATCTCTTGTCTCCTTTGCCTTGCTACCTCTTTTGCAGCGGCCGTATCATCGACAGCTGTGCAACTTCAAAATGGCACTTTCCTCCTCTTCAGGCTATTTAATGTGTGTTATAATCCGGTAATGGCGAAGGTTAAACTCGTAATAATAGCAGTATGGGAGAGAAGGTGACTGTACTTATGCTAATTGCCTCCTGAATAGCTATTCCTGGCTCTATTCACCTCTGGGCATGGAACACAGCATAAGTTCAAAGGGGTGGAAATGGTCTATAGAGTGCCCAATACTCGATTACTACTGAAGAATAAAGGCCCATGTAGGAGTGAGAAGGTAGTGCTTCTGCTATGAATTTCCTCTTATTTAAAACATATTTAAACAACGTTTTTGTAATTGGTCATCAACCGAATTTGACTCCGCCTCGTTTTGACATGCTGCGCCGACGTTGTACTTCTCCCCCCTTAAACAGCATTCTGTCTACGCTTGATGCCTCCACGTTGAGTAAATACCCCTACCTTCTACATTCCTCCTAGCCAACACTTCATCACCTTAACACTAGTAAGTACATTTTCCTTTAACTGCCTTTGCTCCTCCCAACACCGCTTGTGTAGCATTGGATGCGTTCCTGCATTTTAAAAAGATGTCTTCTATCTTTGATACAACTAGACCCTCTCCTCAGCGATGGGCACAGACGAATTCCCCTCCTCTTTTTTCCCGTCTTCAACAACAATTTGGGCTACCGATGACAGCATGAACTATCAAAACCGCTTTTGGAGTCCAGTTTGCCAGTCACTTTCATAAATGATTAAAATGACGTTTGCACTCATTATTCGGTAAAGTGACTCTATCGGTTCCTTGCTTCCTCCTTTTTCACATAAGCTGGAATGTTTCATGCTATTGTTCTGAAGTAGTAAGAAGCAAATCCATGTAAATTCCTTGATCCAACAGTAAATCTGTAGGCCTTTTGTCCCAAAATCCTCAGCCTGTACATTTTTAGTCAAAATAGTCAGTTTTAATGCATTCAGTCATTAACTGGAAATCAATTTGTCAAAAAACATTTTGAGTCACTTTGCTCCTAGAAAGTCACAAACAAGACATGTTCTCCAGGCACACGCGATATTTTCCAACCTTTTCCCATGATCTTGTTACTACTTTGGGAGTATTAACACTTAAATAAAATACTAGCCTAATATGGTGTAGAAGAAGGGATAATATAGCAGTGAATTATCAAAAAATGCACTAACTTTGATATAAACATGCCAAGACAGCTTACAAAATGCCTAATTTATAGATATGGCATTTCGCTTTGCATTGGATCGACCTACTATAAATGCTGTGGTGGACGTGCTAAAAATGTGATGCTCCTGATAGCCGAATTCGGTAGAGGACCACGCTTAGCCTAGAGCGCGGTCCATTAGCATCGGAGCGAATGCGCCCTGCGCATTACACGATGGTGCGTGTGTGGGTGTCATGCATGGATGACCATACCTGAATCAGGTTAGCTCTGTCCTCAGTGACCTCGTCGACTGACTGCCAAGAGGCATGTAAGATCGTGTCGTGCAATTCATACCATTCTTGCTAAATGCTTGAAACAGGGTCAGTTATGTTAATAACTCAAATATCACCCCAGTCATAATTTTGTTATATTTAGTAGCAAAACTGTGATTCTGTCTTACTGAGAAAAAAACAAATTGTGCTCTGATTATTCCAGACGGTTGTCTTAGCACCACTTATTCATTTATGACCCCGTTTGGGTAACATTATTTGACGCCTGGGAGACATTCAACACATGATTTAGTTAAAATCTGTGAGAAAAATTAGTTCGACTGCCATTGGTGTGCAGCAGCATTGACGACTAGGAAGACCAGTAATACACGCCGGAGAGCGTCTGCGAATTTCTGGGTGTATGTTTGCCATCGCTTAGGAATACGCCGGTTAGTTTCATCCAGAGATCTTTATTAATATCTACGTTGAGTGCTTTTCCCTACTCTATCCATCTAGGCAAAGTATTAATGCAATTGACTTGGATTTTCAAAAGGATTTTGTGGGCATAAAGGTGACTTTTCATGCAAAGCTCACCACGGAACTGACGTGAATTCTCGTTCCAGTGAGGTTGAAACATCTCTTGACCCCAAGTTTGTGCAACATCATTTCGGCAACTCTAACCCAAACATCCCATGAACAGCGCCTGGCAGGGCAACTATTATTTACGTGTCACAATCACAAGTGCTGAAGTTGTAGGACATGGCAATATTAAAAAGTACGGCTTTTTGAGCAGAAACAGTTAAAAAATCGTCAGTATGGTATAATTTTAAGTTAACATCCCAATTTGTTAAGTACTAATTATAGATAAACCCAAAAATCGAGATATACCAATACGTAAGATGGATGATTTAGTTAATTCTCCGCTTTGATCTGCTCAGAAGTCCCTCGTAAGTGCATACCACCTCACAAAGCTGGACCTCCATAATTTCGTGCTGAAAGACTACCAGTACGCAAATGGCCCTAATCATTGAATATGCAGTATTTGTAGAATAATACACACTCCAAGGGTTGGATGTACAATAATGCAAACGATAAAGTTCAGGCCATAGTTTGGATGAAATGTTGCAAAGGTCGTACAGCACAGTTGATCCTTTAGTTAGGGCACAAGCAGTACATGACATGAAAGGTGTGGGATTAGTGCAAAGTAGTCATACACGGAAATGTTGTGCTTACGAAGATAAATGGAATGTTGCATACAATATTGATATCTTAAAGTTAGTAAAATAGGAAAACTACCTGCACACAATGTAAGCATCATTTATTCGGTGACCACACCCCACTTGCCCAGCATACTTCAATTGTTCTAATGATCACGTTCAAATAAGGGTCGTTAGATTGGTCTAAGTAAGCGTAACTGAAATCGTGGATTGAAACACGGATACGAACTCCGACGTAGTCTCAGATTCACTGGGTGATAGATGCAGACTCTGACAGTCGCCACTGGGCAGCCGTCTAGTTAGTACACGAATGTTGTGTTCGCCGTACCGCCGTACACATGCACAATAGGAAAGAACTGCCATCCCACGGTTCATGTGGCGGCAAACAGAGTGCAGTGGCGCCAGATCAGTCGGCCATAAATGGCTACCATGACTTCTGTGTTTCACACATTGGCAGCCAAATCGGACGGAGTTGTTGCGGAAATTGCCATGCACAATCCATGGTCAACTCTAGTAGAAATGGCAAGGCATGGCAAGGTAAGGAGAGGCAGGGCATGACTGGCAAAGGCAAAGTAGATTGAGCTAAGGCAGTCAAAGGCAAGCAAGGTAACACGGGTCTAACATGTATATAAAACTTAAAAAGGCGAAAGGACAAAGTGACGACAACCAACCCAACCAGTCTACTCAGTCCCTCGCACCTATTTCTCCACCTCAGATAGTTTTATAGTGTCTGACGGCAAAAAAAGTTCAGTAATCGAATGAACAAATGTGATAAGAGGAAAGAGGGTGATGGGATGAGGCTACATCTTTCCCCCTATCATCCTACAATATTGACCCTTATTTTCTTTCCGAAGAATGATGCAGGCTGTGAAATCGTGTAGATGAATTTGACTAGTAAATGTTTGTTTGTAGTCTGCCATACACAAGCGGAAGCTAGTCTGCTGAAGATTGAATGTTGTCGCAGGATTGTGAAGATGTAGGTGAATCGTGTAAGCATAACAAATTCTGTATTCAATAGCTATCGTCACAAACCCTCTACTTGTCAAGAGCAATCCGGTCCAGGTTTCTGAATGATGCAGGAAGCAAGTTGATTTGGTAGAATTCGGTGTTTTATGTGAATGGGAAGCACTAGCCTTGCAGTTTATATCCTTTTATCCCCACCAGTTTATGTAAATGCATACGAACTGTTACACCATACAAATTAGGCATTGCTAAATGTTGTTCTTGGTAATTTAACACCTTCACCGCCATAAAAAATAGCGTGTTTTCGTGAAAGCGCTGCAACTGTGGGTGAAACGTCACCAGCAGCCAGGATCAACGAGCTTCAACCATTTCCAGGCGCAACGTTGTTTGGTTGGCCCACCATTTTCGCAGGCATGCCATTCCAGAAAATATTTTCTTCGGCTTTGCAACATCCAAAAGATTCATTTATTTAAATGTGTATACGCATGCAAAGATATGAGTGTAGATTTCCGTTTAGGTAGTTTTAGAGGACAAACATAATTTTGCAGCTCATTCTACCCTCTCATCGTACACATCCGGCCATTTTCTAAAAAAGTTATTTCGTTTAGAGCACCATAATTATGTTTCTTTTCGATTAAGTGGATAGAGAAGGGGGGCCATTTGGATGTAACAACGTTGGAAATACTCATCACAGCCTTGCAGTAAAATTTTGGTTAACGTGTTGCTTTAGGGCAGGTCATTTCCCACTTGGAATAGAGCCTAAAAGACCTAAGTTTTTATCTTTTCAATGTGGCTCCACTCTTTTTTCAGTTTGATCTTTCTTTCCAATTCAATTTGGTTTATTTTATTCAGCTGTCACATATGTATGATGAGGGATGAATGGCCCTTCCCGCTAAAAATTGCTTTTGTATATCTAGACTTTGATGTGATTGAATAGGGGAGATGTAAAGAGAGTCAAGCACATGATAGGTGGAATAACTGCTGAAGGAAACCCCTCAGAGTATTCGCCTTGATGGCAATTTAGGTTCACAATGGAAATGCTCACTTATTTCCACTTGCTTTGAACAGCTTAGATAAGCTGCCGAATTTGGCAAAATCTGCAAATGAAGTACGCTATTTCTGGAAACTCTTGTATACCAAGAATTGAGTTTCTAGACCAGATTTCTGAAATTCCTGCGTTATTACAACACCAACAGCAGTTTATCCGATAGACGGACTGGAGGCCCAAAGACACTTGCCATCAATAAAAGAAACGTGTTTGCAAATATAATGAAGGCCCTCATAATAAAGGAAACGCATGAGTTTAGCCTGTGCATTTAAATCAGAAAACGAAGGGCGGTTTTTAACTCTCTTACAACGTCATTCGGAAAAAATTATCAGCAGATAAAGATGCTGTTTACATTGCTATAGCTATGAACCGATTGCCCTCCACCAGAATGTAAATTTAAATTTCTTCAGCCAAGTCAAATTCAAAATGAGTTAATGCACTGATGCTTTACTTCATCAAAGTTTGAAGGTCAATTTAAGCTTTGGACTTTCGTCAGGCATGAAGTCGCCTACAACCCATACACAAGCAATGGCGAACAGCTTCGATCACGCTGGTTATGCTTGTGGACCTTCAATCTGTAATCTTCGTTTCTGAAGAATTTTCATTAGGCTTCTCTATGTCCTCATGACCATTGTTGCAAATCACTGATGGGGAAACCGATTTGGGAGGCTCTAAATCAATTCTCAAACTGGATTCCTTCATTAGAGTGCTACCCATTTCACTTTAGAGGCCATTGAAAGAATGGCCAGAAAATGGAGCACAATCAGTGTCATTGGTGCGCAGGTGAATTCTCAGCATAATCATCGCACACAAAATAAAGGGCTCATCGAGAATTGTGCCTCTCTGCATAAGACTTTCATGGCCGTATCAGGGTCCATGCATAAACTATCAGGGAGGGACAAATTCGGCTATACTCAACTAAATGTTATGCTTGAACCCTCAAATTAAATTCTAAGTGGTAATATTTAGGTAAGAATATTTCTGCATTATTTGCAGGTAAATTGCTACAATTTACTCTGCTAGAAATGGAACATATTTATGCCGTTTCATTAATCAGAAGTAGCATTCAATTGTTTACGAATTAGATCTGTGTTTTGATAGAAAATGTTTAAGGGAACGATAAAATGCACATAGCATTAATGCCTTGAGTATGAATAACGAGAGGTCATCAAGGCCACAAAGTTTGGCAGGTGTCTGCATCAACACATTGTGTAGCATTGAGCAATTTCTACTTCGTCCACCTGGGTAAAGTTGGCAAACACTGTGATAATTGTCCACAAAATTACCACGACAATGGGGGAAATGCATATTATTCCCTCATTATGACTGTTTTATCAGCAGCGCCACCACCCACCACGTAAAGCTGTACGAAACTGGAAGTCACATTTCGGACCATATGTATTCGCAAATCAGGAAAAAACGGCATGTTTTGTGCCTTCATTGCACGAGGTTCAGCTTTTCACACAAAGGAAACAGCATAATTAACTATTGTCCAATTTCTTAGCAACACAAACAGCTTACAAATTGACTAGAGTCATTCAGATACGCTTTTATCATTTTTTCCAGATTTTGTTTAATCAAGGTGTTGGTTCCTCACCTCTCGTCATAGGCTGGACTTGCACATGGAAGAGGCGAACGTGCTCCTCACAACTCTTCGCCCAACTATAAATTACACTTTGTGTAAAGCACTATTGTGCGAGCATTTATAAACTCAGAGATTTAATACTTCCCTATGCCATCTCTACCTCAAATAGGTAGGAATGCTTTGTTTTGTACAAATTTACTCATACTTGTGAATGCAAGGAATAGAACTCTCTTAATGGAGTCTTCGGGACAAAAACTACAAAAGAAGCGTTAATTGGTTTGAATGAAATCGACTGAGGGCAGATTATGTCAACCGCCAGACGCAGCAGTATGGAGAGTAAAAGGGGATTATCAACAAATGTAAATTGATATAGGCCAATCCTCCAGTCTCTCCCAGTTTTGTCTCTATCATAGCGAAGTAGAGGCTTGTTTTTGGCAGCCATTTCTTATATTTGTAAAGACTCTACCTTCCATTTGCATACCTCATGAATATGTCAACGATGACTCGGAAGTTAAACGATGCCTTTACTAGACATGTAGTAAAACTGGGATACACATCACCACGTAGTGCAATTGTTTGATAAAGTGTTTGAGGATATGCTTAACGCCGCAGTCTCGCCTGTACCTGCGGTTTGTACTTTCACTGAAGGTTATGACCATACCGCCATGCGCTTTTAATATTTAATTGCCCCTAGTATATGACATCAAGGAGGAATCGGTGTTTTAGAGTGACCTAAGAATTTGATTACAATTGTTTCTGTCCCTTAAGGCAGTTTAAAATAAATGTTTGCTCTGAAAATGGCCCGATTTTGTTTCTATCTCAGATAATTTGTTCCATTGTAAAGGTGATGGAAAAGGAAATTCTGTCTGCATAACTTTTTTAAAATACTTGAACTTATGTCAGTCGAGAGGTAAGGCGACACCGAATCATCCTTATCCATGCAGCCTAGCGTTGATCTTTCCACTCAGAGCACCCTGCCATTTCTAAACCATGCTACTGTCTAATGTCTCCTTGGCTTAACTGGGACATGCCAGGGACACATGTAATGCATCACAACTCAGAGGAAGAGAAGTCAACAGATCAACGAGTGACCATTGGAGACTTGCATCTCGCAAGCGGTTCACACAATACCATGTTGGATGGCACATCAACAGCACAATTACTACATGA